GAATTCCATCAATTCACCCCTTCCTCTGCCAGGAGTCAGGGCCCTGCTGCGGGCACTATGGAGAGGGGCCTGGCACTCCTCAGCCTGGCCTTCCTGTGGCTGCTGCGCCCTGCATCTCCTCAGCAGCAAGTGGACGACGCCTGTTCCGTGCAGATTCTCGTCCCCGGCCTCAAAGGTAACCGCGGCTGGGGCCGTCTGGCCTGGCCTCAGGTAGTGACCGTGGGTGGGGGCCTGGGTGTGGCTGACAGGGTGGTGCTGGCTCAGGTCCAACCTTGGGCAGATCTGGCACCTCGGTGGGCCTCAGTGTCCCCATCTGTAAAACAAGGGGTGACTGTGCAAAGTCTGCACTCTCTCCGGCCCAGGCATTCTGAAATTCTGCAGCTAGCTGTTTATTCACAGCTCTGCCCTCTCCTCAGGGACCCGTAAAGCAACAGACATTTGTTACAGGCACTGTGCACATCACTGCACGTGACCCAGGGTGACATGATCTCATCTGGTCCGTTTTGCAGATTGATAATTTAACAGTTTGCTGAACTGGGTTGCACAGCTGTGAAGCCTGTGCTACGCCGGTTCCTGAGAGCTCTTTATTCCTTCTTTTAAACATCAGAACAATTGTGTCATCGCTTTGTGACTTACCTCCAGGTAGAGCTGCCCCTGCGGAGCTGGTGGGTGGGCACCAGTGCAGGGGGGGTGTCTGAGCCCTCAGACGCATCTTTCTTTGAGAAAGTGTCTGGTTTCCATGAAGCACAGGCAAGAGACTCCAAAACCTTGTGACCCTAGCAGCTCGATTCTAGGCCCTGTGTGAGATGAACAGGCCCCTTTTTCAGAGATTGTGAAGGACTTCAGAATGGGGATGGGGGAGTTTGGCCCAGTGCTCCTTAGAGCAGGAGTTGGGGCTGCCCTGGGACAGGTCACCGCCCTCGTCCCCAGTGGCCGTCTGGCGCCCCCACCCACTTGGGATGGTTGGAGAGAGACAACGATGAGAATGGCCGCCAGGGGAGAGCTGGCATCTTTGGAGGTCAGCCCCTCTGGGGGCCTGGGGACAGGAGGCTCCTGGTGAGGGCAGGCAAGGCCTTGGTTCAGTGAGAAGGAGCAGTGGGTGGCCGGTGTGGTGGGGACCGCCGTCCCTGCAGGCCCTCTCGGGGGCGGCCACACTAGGACCCGACACGCACAGACCCTGGGGC